CCTCTGTTAACGCAGAAAGTTCCACTTGTTCTCCATACTGCACCTCGCAGTCAGTGGAAAGTTGCTACACACCGCTGTTTCTCCCAGCTTAACAGTTGGCGATTGTCGCAGTTTGCTTACTTCATGGCGCGTGTCGCGTGACCAAACATGTAATAAGCCACTTTGAAGGAATCGATCTCAACTTCCTAACTGCACGGACATGAGCCTTTCCTGAGAAGCCGTATAGCTAGCTCTCACAGTGGTCACTAAGGGCAGTACTATCTTCTGGCATGTGACGCCGTGTAACCCAGAAGTTCAACGACGTTTCGGAAGAACATACTGCATCCGTCTTCAATGTCAAAGAGTAAGCCAAGCAAGCAGCAAACAGGCTTGAAACAGCAGAAGTTCCTCCGAAACGTCAGTGAGCTTCAACGGCACTAGACGGTGTCACACCTCAGAAGGCAGTACTCTCCAAAGACGCGGTGTGCTTACTTTGAGGGAAACTTCCAAATCAATATTCTGGGAGCATTTATTCCCAGCATCCGAGTTGGTGTTTTAGAGTGGAATTATGGCATAGCTTCCGGGAAGACGAAGCGACCGGGATTTTCTCAGTCTCTCCTTTCATGTCCCGGATGGAAAGATAAACCACGACCGCCTTGCGGCCTTCACATTCCAGTTAACCGCAGTAAGCAGACCGGGGCGCCGGGCGCAATCTGCAGCCCACATCTCATTAACTCAACGAGAATAACATACCAAACACGCACCGGTACTGGCCGTCTTAACGCCTCTGTCCCGCTTCAGGGACTGCCGACTTCTAAGGCGCTACATAACAAGCATGTCCCCTGCTCTTCAGGGAGAAAGACCCATACGAAACAAACAAATCCGCTGTGTCGACAGAATGCAGAGTTGTGCGTTAAAGAAGGTGGTATATATAGCAACCACTGGCCTTTGAAGGGTTAACCAGTACGGGTCGACCTTCTGCCACTTGGGGAGGGGGGTAGCACAACGGAAGTGGATCAGAGGGCAGCGGCATGCAATGACACGTCTCCGTGTCGCATTTGGCTAACTCGACCAGGGCGGACCACTTGACTTCATACGGGCGTGAAAGTGCGCGCATGAGGGCACGCAGTGTTGAGGCCGTTGTCTCAGAAATCCGCGTCGCATACGTTTCGGAAACTAGATTTCTTTCCGTGGTTAAAGTGAAAAGACTGGGTGGTAGACCCACCTAATTAGCAAAAGAAGAATAAAAACGCGCCTAATTAAGCACCGAACAATGGAAGCGTATGAGGGAATGGAGATGTAGCTCCACACATTCTGAACCTGAGCACTGGATGGAGGGGAAAGAGTTCATGATACATATGGGGTAGGAGGCTGGATGGACGCCGGTCTGTACGCTGTAAGGCAAGAGAAGGATGTCTGCCCCGCCAAGAATCAAGCACCGATTCTTAGGTCGTCCAGTCTCTATGCTGACGAACTATGCCGGTTCGTGTTGATGGCACGATATTATTAAAATGGACCCTAAGGATACAGGGCCAGAGACTGAGCACAGGATTCATATGGCTCAGGAAAGAGTCCAGCAATGGGCTCTTGCGAATATGGTAATGAACTCTCAGGTGCTATAAAAGGCTGGGAATTTCTTGAGCAGCTTCTCAAGAAGGTCTCTTCTCCATGGATGTGTTTATTTAGTAATGACGCTGACGGAAATGACGGAGGATGACGCAGATCAAGTCAATCCTGACGTCCGGCAACAACCGAATTTCATAAAAATCTGTCAACTGCATATACATACACTGACACACACGATAATTCGCTTCGAGGAGGCCTTCAACTAATAAAAAAAAATAATAGTTTGCAGGTGGAAATGAAGTCGGTCACGGTAGCCGAGCGGTCTAAGGCATGTACTGTCTTCGCTCGCTCGGAAGCCGGGATCGTGGGTTCGAATCCCACTCAGGGCATGGATGTTTGTGTGCGTTTTTCTGTGTTTGTCTACAGGTAGAGGCCTTGCAACGAGCTGATCACTCGCCCAAGGAGTCCTACCGTATGTGTAAGATCGAGAAAAACCGAAGTGAACGGAGTTCATGGAGGTAGGCCTAGGCCCACTGGGGCTGTAGTGCCAAGGGGGGGGGGGGAAAGGTGGAAATGAAACTTGACACTGGTGCGTGCCTGCCCGGTTCCTTCAGACTGTGATTCCAAGTGAGTCCTCCTGCCATGCTGCCTGTAACATTCGCGAACTTGAAGCGTCGTGTCGGCCTGCGTCTCCATGCGGAAGGAAACCAATTTCAACATCTTCTATAACCCAACCCACATCTGCCAAGGTATGGACTCGATCGGATGATTATTGCGTGATTTATAATCGTTATCTCTGGCCCTGTCTAACTGAAACATGCTGTGTATAGTTGAGTCTACAAGATAAACAAGGCGTACCGAGGCGGGACAGCATGACAGTTGAGACGTGATTAGTGGTACATCTCTTGTGTTTTTGTGCTCGCTTTCAAGAAGCCTGCCGTGACACTTTTCGTACGCTGGATGCGTTCAGGAATTCGCCGTGCCATAATCATGTTGGACATGGCGACCACTCGTCTCGCGTGTCTTGTTTCGGCCACTCGAGAGGGTTCCCATGGCCTCAATCCACCCAGCATGGCCGGCCACAGTATTGTGCGAGATGTCCCAGTAATGACAAGGCTAAAACATCAGGATCCGTCGATGTCGAAGGATAGTTTCCGCCCTGCTTCACGGGCGCGAAGTGATCCATAGCCAGACACATGTTTCGGCATTACTTAACCGAGGATCCCGATCGAACAGGTAGCTTTCCTGTTTCGTATCCAGGTGTACCAGGTTTCAAATCTCGGTGAGAAGACCTGATATCCTCTGTTCCTCCAGACATGTCCTCGGAAGGTACATCCTATTCGGCCACGAAAGCTTCCTTCCACATCTTTACCAATTCAGTATTCACTGTCATCCTACCATTAGACACTAGACACCCTGAGCTATTGACAGCGTCATTAAGAGAGAAATTAGAAGAGAACTGAATAGATGGAGCCCTACAATATCTGACCGCAGTATGATGAATACTGACTTTCGGGATGTGACGCCGTATAATCTGGTAGAAAGTTACGAACATTTCGGAAGAACCTGTCGCCTCTATCGTCAGGGTTGAAGATGGAGGTAGCAAGGTTCCTCCCCTGCTACCAAGTCAGTCTGGGTCCTCGGTCCCGCCAGGAGCGGAACGTCTCACAACACCCTATGTCTGTGGGCTCTGCCTCCATGGTTTCAGCCTTCCCTACGCCGCTTTGTACTTCAGCTGTTTTACAGCAGATATAACATGCCACTGAGAGAAAGTCGTTATCACAGCAACGCTCTGCCGTTTCCCCTGCCGCTACATCCAGCCTCTTCACCAACGTCGCTATCGCGTGACAACACACCTTGGAGGTACGGGCTCAAATCTCGGCCCCAAATCCGTTATCCTGACTGAAGAGTTCTGTCATTTTCCTCAGTCCCTCCAGGCAGATACCGGAATTGGCCACGTCACTTCCTTCCTTAACTTCCCCAATTCATCATTCATACCCCCACAATCACCCCCTCATTCAGCACCATTTTATAACGTATGCGTGCCCGGTCAGCGAGCCTATTGATTAGGCTGCGGGCTAGACGACCACATAATCTAGATTCGATTCCAGGAAGAAGCTCTGACGTTCACACAGTGACTGTTTCTTCGGGGGTGAGTAGGCAAAGCTGATCGCTCATTCCATCAAGAAACAGACATTAAGAATGCATGGAGCTGTACCTCTACTATCTGGTGTGGTGTTTCATTAAGTACAAGGACAGCTTTATTTTTGCCTTATGAAGCTGGCGAAGCGTCATTCAATAAGAAACAAGCTTCTTTGGTTCGTAGCCTCAGTCCGTGGCCCTACGAACTGTGACTACATGCAATTCGAGTTTTTACTCAGTCCCCCCCTTACAGCGAAAGTTAAACTCCTACCCCTTTCAGAGGGAACCCCGCCTGGACCTACTTTTCGAGTTGGAGAAGACGGCCTCCGCGCAACCAGCAATAGGTCATTGCCGACAGAAGCACGACGCAAGAACCACACACCGGCGCGTTCCTCCGCTGAAGCACACCATAACAAGCGGTGAGTACACGCCTGCGGTAAGTTTAGTGCCAGACACTTCTATTCAGAAATCTAAAATCAGAACGTTGGATTGGCTTTACACTGCGGTCTTCTGCTTTATGACACCGTGTAGTCTAGTAAGTACACATCGACATATTGCCTCGAAGATGGAGACATTACGTTCCTTCGAAACGTTGATAACCAGATTACACGGTGTCATAATCCAGAAGACATGAACGTTGATCGATATGAAACTGCCAGCTTTCCCGAATTTGAGGTTTCGATCCAACCTGAACGCTTTCAGATTCTGGGCCAGTATTTTGTAAAATGAGAGTGGAGAACAAATCTTTCAGTGACATACGGAACTAACGTCTGAAAACAAGAGGAACGCATCAGGACGTCTGTCTACAGGAAATTCAGTAGTCATGTACACACTTGAGGCCGTACAGTAAATACTACTCATTTGAACAATGAAATTGCAAGAAGGCAGGGCTAGAAGATACCATTATAAGAATAACAGGATCACGTCCAATGCCATTAACGATATCTTTCGAAGCTGATTACTAAAAGACGCTGTATATATAAAGTCTATACAGTGTCGGACGGTTGGATGATAAATGGATGTGGAGCTGTTGGTAGAATGAGAATTGGCAAGGTAATTAAAGTATTTAGAGGAAACCCCACCCCAGTGGCACTTCATACACCACGAACCCTATATTACCCGATCTGGGACCGAAACCGGGCCGCAGCGTAGACAACTTGCATTCAGCGCAAGATTATTGCCAAAATATTACGATGTTGTCTAATAAATGTGGGGGCCTCGACGTCTCACAACCCTATGGGCCTCCACGGCCTGTTACCATAGCTTTGCTTTTTTTGTGGATTACTTTCCGACGCTGTGAGTAACTAGACAATATGACGATAGCTGAAAGAGGAATTGGAAACAATATGGACGGGAGTGCTCGAGGTATAATCACGGTTGCTTCCTGTGAGGACCGAGGAAACGCATTAGGCTGAGACCGGCGCCGATCGCCTCCCGGATGCAAGCCCACAGGGTCACCATTCCGCCAGCACACGCCGTGTGTTTTGTCGTTGCGAGGTTAAACCGTCTCTGCACTTCATTATCAAGCGCAAGGCCACGGCTGGGTGGACCCAGCGCCGGTCTGGACGGTAAGAAGCAGAAAAACTCTCTTGGCCCTGCCGGCTATCGAAGGCCGATTCCTCGGTCGTTCAGAAAGTATCTTAGTCCCTTTGGCGACTGAGCTCTCTCTCAGTGCTCCGCATCGGCATTTGACGTGGAATTGTTGTTAAGCAAATAAATGTTATTACAGTGCCTTGTTGCCGCAGAACACTGAAACTGCGACACATCTCTGTCCCTTCTACTTGTGCAGCTCAATAGGCGTTCGCTCCACACCGAACGTTATATAACCAACTGGAGCGTGGGCTGGGTTACTCTCCTGTACCAGCAGAGCTCTCAAAGCGCCTAATTGTTGTGCTGTTATTTCCACTTCACGGCCCACAAACTGGGTCCACCCACAACTTCTCTCTGCCTGCCTCGTCATGAGTGCAGACTGCTCTGTAAGCCATTAGCTCACTGTGGCTTGGATAGTTCTCTACGTCATCACTCCGTTGAGACCGGCTCTGAGCACCACACTGATCCGTATCAAAGGAATGTCGGCATTTGTCTCCCCGGGAGTAAAACAGCCGGATCGTTAAACTGTTCATTTCCATCTTCTCATGAGGCTAAGAACACGTACATGTCTACCGCCATGCCCACTATACGTCTTCATGTCTTTGCGTTTATTCGTGAGAGCCACAGTACGAGTGGTAATTTCCGAGGAACAGTCAGCATTTTTTTTCGGCGCCGCTGTGTCCTTCAGTCTTCGAGATAAAGCACCTGGAGCGTGAAGCTAGGGACTCATCTTTGTCCAGTTGGCAGGTTAAGACTGCACGCCCTCAAGGCGTGGCAAGGACCCCGTCCTCTGGGCTGTGACGTCATGCAATCTTCTCAATGGCGTGCTTCACAGCGATCGTTGTGGGAACCTCAAAGCTGATAACATTGGCCGAAACGCTTCCATCCAGCTGGAACATAAGAATGTGTGGGGATTTACCTCAGCCTTCATGGCGTGGCACAGTGACAACTTCGCGTTTTGCTTGGTCCCCTGCATGTGACCTGTTCCACTGCAAGCTCCATTTGCTGCCGCCTGCAGCTTACTGGTGCGGATCGAGACACGACAGCGTACAGAGGTACAGAACTGTGGGCCAATGTGTACCTGTACCTAAAGGTTCGCTCTGTACGACTGTAGCACTATGAATACTACGAAAATATGGGCAGCTGACGCCAATCACAGTGGCCGCGCGGTCTAAGGCATGAACTGTTTTCGCCTGCTTGAACACTGGGGTCGTGGGTTCGAATCCCACTCAAGGTATGGATGTCTGTGTGAGTTAGTTCTGTGTTATGTTGCCCTGTGTGCAGGTAGCGGCCTTGCGACGGGCTGATCCCCCTCCAAGGAATCCTACCGAATGTGTACAGGATTACGAAACTGAAAAAGGAGCCAAGACCCAGCAAAAGTCTATAGAGACACTGATGAACGAATGGATGGGCAGTTCACAGAGAATGAGACTTGAGAGAGGACAGACCCGACCTCTGGTCAGAGAGGTCGACACGTGATGACAAAAATGGAAAATGTCAAGACTGGCATTACAAAATCGGGTCATAAGCCCAAGGAGGGGTTCGACATAAAGGCGGCCTGACTGACCGTGACTTCGACTTGGACCGCATCACACAACGGGACTGATGACCACACTGCATCATGAGACCTGGGTTCTGGTCTACAGCCTCGTCAGTGACGTCTGGTTTCGGAATTTCGTCACCCACACAAAGACATGTCATATAAATACAAGCGCTGGAGACGGTGACGTCGTGGGACAGGAGCCTGAAGGACGGAGGGATAACTCGGGTCTACTCGAATGTGTTCCAACGCCGTCCAATGTCGAAATTCGGACAGCGGAAAATCTGAGACCGAAATGGCCATAAATGTGCACCTATAAGCTGAAAACTGGAAGAAGATTTAATCAGAGTGTTAAGGTGTTGCAGGTTGAACTAACCACCCTATCAGTCAACCCAGCTTGGATATCTCTCCCATCTGGACTCCCTTTATCACAGCAGAAGACAGAAAACTACAACTCCATCCAGTGTAGATTGTGTTGGTACTGTACAGAGGATCTGTCTCTTCAGTGATGATTCATATTCTGAATTTAAGAACAATAATCGTCAAATAGTGCATCGACATACGTGCTAGGCGTCTTGTCAGTTATGTTTGTCTTAACTCTCGCGATGTTTGCTGCTGCGCTTGGTTTGTATATCCTTTCTTGTGTTGGTGCTGGCGTCCTGAGGCAGGCACTAGCTGTACTGATTTGGGCCCAACTGAGTAGGTTCCCCCTGAAGACGGAGACAGAATCCAGTATTCGAAACGTGTGTCCCTATCTCCGGAGATGGGGACTAGCTCTATCGATTGGGTCCAACTGAATAGGTTTTACCTGAAGACGGAGACAGAATTCAGTCTGCGAAACGCTGTATGTTGTTAAATAAAAACAGGATGATTGTTAATGACCGGAAACACAATAACTGTATTAATATACGATCGTCACAAATTTTAGATCTGATGAATTCCTGTTAAGGAGCTGGCACCACCTGTTTCACAGCCACCTGCCATTTCTCTGTTACTGTACCTTGGATGTTCATTTATTTCATTGGCTGGCCTGCTGATACATGGATGGGAGAAATGACTGAACATTCAAATACCACACGGGCAGAAGTTGGAACAGAACCTTATAATAAGCCACAATTTCATCGTCCTTGAACATTCCAATTCATAATTACTCTCCCATCTGACACTGTACAGAAGTTTTGCAGATGAGGAAGTATTCTCAAATTTGGAAGAGTCGTTAAGGTTTGAGGCTTTCATGGCAGCAAAAATCTGAAGTGTGGACTTCTGAGTAAACCGAACACCGGAAGCACTGTGATTGCGGATAGTCATGAATATGAACAGTTGCAGACGGAAGACCGGATGTGGCGCATACCGGTACGCTGATGGCGTTATATAAACATTAGCGCCTGTGCACTTTCTCTCGGCCGTTAATCAGATGCTCGTCACGCGGCGCTGCGATCCGCATGCCGTATCACGTAACAACAATCTAAAGTTTTCACTACGCGAAGTGGACCAAGCGGCTAATGGGGGCGTTTCTCCTATTGACACGGATATGCCACGGGGCTCGATCCCCAGATACAAAAACTGAAGCATCGTGGTATTACTCAGTTTCGCGAGGCCAGTAGGCCATGGCACCCATGACATGCGGAGTGTGTAACCGTATAAAGGGGAAGTTCGTGCAGATCTTATTACCTGTAGGTCCCCAGTCTCTGCAGCTACTGAAACTCGCTGGTCACTTGATGGCACGCGAAAGATTGCGGGGGGGAGGGGGGTTCCCCCCCCCACAAAAAAAACGGCGGATTGCTTCTTACTTTGCTGTAAGACGCAGAGGTTCTGGCGTCGAAGTCGAGGATGGTTATGAATGAAGTGGTCGTGACCGGATATAACAGTCTAGCATTTCATGAAGAAAATAATTCCTCTTCTTCATTTTAGGCCAAACAAAGCATTCATGGCAAAACAGATACAATTTCTATTAATGAAGCGCCGAAACTAATTTAATTTCACACCGAAAAACATTATGCATGCATTTTTCTGTCACAATTACGAGTATTCATGATTTACTTCACGACACTGTCAGCATTTCGGATTATAGAGCGTCGAATAATCGGAAAATTAGTGAAATTAGTTGCAATTCATGTAGAAGGAAGCAGCCGTGGCCGATCACAGTTGCCGCGTGGTCCAAGGCACGAACTGTCTTCGCTCACTCGAACGCTAGGATCGTGGGTTCCAATCGCACTCAAGGCATTCATGTCTGTGTGTGCGTTTATTCTGTGTTTGTGTTGTCCTGAGCGTAGGTAGCTGGTTTGCGACGGGCTGATCCCCCGTCTAAGGAGTCCCACCAACTGCGTAAAAAAGATTACGAACCTGAAGAAGAGGTGAGAGTCCAACAAAGGGCTGCAGAGCCATTGTTCAATGAATGAAAAGTGGAAGCGGCCGTGGCCTAATTTTAAAACATCGCAATCAGACCCAAAGAGGGCAGTCGGTGTCCTTGGCTGAGATTCAGACCGGACATCCCCTGAAGGCAAGTGAGAAGTGTTACCATTGGAGCCAACTTGCTAAGTCTCATTGTTAAATACCGAAATTATTCTCAGCAGAAATGGCTACAGTAAGTCAACGAGTAATCAAGTTCGTGGCCTCGAAGTGTTAAGATGTAATCCTGCCATATGCCTGACTGGAGGGCACGGAGTTTCCCTTCCGTTCAATAACAGGAAACTAAACCTACTGAAGCAGGTCCAAAACGCCATACCCTGAGTAGACAACCTTAGGGAATACAAGTCCCATATATACGTATTTACTATCTTTCACCTCGGTACCATTGCCTTCAGCCTCATACACAATGGATACAAAGGGATTCTTCTCGAAGATAAAGCAGCCGAAGCGTGAAGCAGTTCCAGTTTGGAGGTTAAGAATACATGGAGCTTTAACTCAGCAACCCCTACACATCTTCATGGCGTGACAAAGGGGCAACCTTACTTTTAAAGACTACTGTCTTCTGCACGTGACGCCGTAGTCTGGTAGATCGTTACTGGCAGACGGCAGTAACCTTCATAGTAACCGTTGTGAGAGGGCCGCGCCATAGCTCAAGCGGTTAGTCGCTGGCTTCCCACCGCGGCGGCTCGGGTTCGATCCCGGGTCTGGTCAAGTGGGTTTTGTGGTGGACAAAGTGGCGCTGTGGCAGGTTTTCTCCGAGTACTTCGGTTTCCCCTGCCAATCTTCATTCCACCAATTGCTCCAGAATCACCCTCACCTATCATCTGGGGCTGGTACAATAGGCCAGAAGTGGCCGCAGAACAAGGCACTTAGTCCCACCCAACTAGCAATAAAAAAAACCGTTGTGAGAACTTCAAATCTGACATTAACCGGCTGTAGCGTGCAGATATTCATAATGGGTGGAGTTTTACCTCAACTGCCTCTATGGCAAACTTACGGAAGAACTTTCTAGTACATCTATCGAGATTTCCGGTCTGGCGATTTTGTTTCCCATTTTCACGTTGAAACCCTAATTCAGTAACTTTCTACTGATGCCACCGCACGGTGCTTCAATACACAATACATCTGGTCCTCTGTGTTTCAGCCCAAGCAGCCGTCGTGGAGAACGGCGATGAGTCTCACCATGAGGAGGATCCTGCTCGCCGCCCTTTGCGGTGAGTATCCAGCAGAACTGCAGCACGCTCGGGCCGCCTTAGCTGCTGGTAATGAGGGTGTCACTAGATACATACAAGTACTTCAGGGGCCCATGTGATGAGCTGGAAACACGCACTTACTCGCAAAGCTGGGTGCAGGCGACACGCAGTGTGTGCCCCGAAGCGGAAAGGAACGCGACCCACAAACCCGAGGGCCTTGTTTCCAATACTGCGATGACAATTTCTTCCCTGTTTGTTCATGCGAGATTTCAGTGTCTCACGGCCACGACTGTAAAGTGTATCATCTTCTGTGATATGATGCTGTACACTATGGTACAAGTACACTGACGTTTCGGAGGAACGTACTGAAGCCATCTTCAGATTTATTAATTTACTTTTCGACCCTGAAAATGGAGGGACGCCTTCTCGCGAAGCGTCGTCATACTTCTCCTAGACTTCCTATTGACTTGTGGTGCACCTAACGACGCTGTCAAGAGCCCGCACCATCCGGCATCGAATTTCTGGGTTATTAGTGAATATTCGGTTCGGGAGGACCTGAGTGACCATGGGCGAATTTCAAGCCCTGTTCCGATGTTTATCTAGAGGGACTGAGGAAAACTTAGAAAAATTTGTCAGGATAGCCGCTTGCCCGGCCGAGACTCGAATGCGAGACCTCCCAAATATGAAAGAATGCTACCCACTGCAACGCCCACTTATGCAGTACGCGCATTCTTTGCATCGGAACGACGTGAACCGTGGCTGACACGTGTAACTGTTCCTTTACTGGGTTCGAGGTTCTCACAGAGGTGATTATGATGAGTCCTGTGGTCTGCGGTGTAACGCCGTTCAGTCTGATGGCAGCTTACCAACGTTTGTGCTTGCCACTTGCTTATTTGGCTTACTCTTCGTTCCTGAGTACGTTCATCCGAAATATCGCTGAACTTCTACCGGATTACACGGCGTCAATTCGCCTCGGCCACCACACAACACGATTCCATGTTGCCACGCCCCAGAATGGAGCTCAGGCAACGAGCAGAAAGCGAGCACTCACATTCTCTCCTGCTTCCGTGCAGGTTAGCTACACTGGTTGCGAAAACCGTTCTGAAATTTATAGAGCAAGAATTGTTACAAAGAAAAGCAGACTACACATTAATTCTCCGTGCACAAGCCGCCAAATTACATTCAACAATTTCATTTTCGTTCTCCTTAGCTCTGTTTACTTAACCGAACAAAGTGGCACACGGATTCTCTCGCGTTGTGTAAAAATGCGAAGGCTTACAACGGCAATGGGATGGCTCATTCAGTACAGTGACTATATTACGGGCTGGGTGACAGAAGAATCGGGGTTCGATTCCCGGGAAAGAGATCTGTGTCTTTTCTCCACTGCGTCCTAACCAGTTCTAAGCTCACCTAACCTCGAACCGACTGGGTACCTCAGGTTCCTTGCAGTAAAACGGCCGGGGCATGGAGCAAACGCTCACCTCCCTCTAGCGCCGAGGTTAATCATCAGTGGAGCCATACTTTCACTTCCCCACACATCTTAATTTTTTGGTGGGTTATTTTACGATGCTCTAGACTTATACTCGAGAGGTACTTGGTTCGAATTTCGGACTGAACATCAATTATCCTGAGATTTTCGTTGTTTTCTTCAGTCCCTCCAGGTAAGCCGGGAGAGTACCGCAAGGAAGCAACAACTTCCTTCCAGATCATTTCCTATTCATCTGCCATCCTACCATTCCTCGCTATGTACGTAGTATAGCTACTGACGGCGGTGTATGAAGTTCATATTTCAGCAATGCTTGCTGCCAGATGGTTCACAATATTTTGTGTTCCCGTCTGCTTTCTAAAACCCAAAGACTAAGGCACATGAAACTCTAATTGTAACAAAAGATTTCGAAACAACCGGACCAGGTTCCTGTGATCCTGTCAATCCTGTCCACGGTATAGCATCCCCCTTCAGCGGGTGACAGGAAACAGACTAATAAAGAAATTATCTGTTGTTTGAGAACCCAAAAAGCTCACTGCCCCTGCATTGAAGACAGTTCCGAGCCAGCTCATAGCCTCACAAACCGAGCTCTGACTCGCGGTCGTTAACCGTCCGGTTAATTTCTTTCTTGCATGTTTACATCTCGCGGATGTGGGCAGGGTTTGCCCTTGGGTTGTGGTGCATTCCGGGGCCCTAAATGGGGGCCGGCCGCACAACTTTGCTGCTCCACTGTTCCTATTGGCCCAGACGAGGCACCAATCCCCATTCCCCCCCCGGTGCTTTTAGAAACAAATACAGATAATCACGCATCTTATTTACTTATAACCTGATCTACCTCCGAGATGTCAGAAAACAACACAAGAACGGAATTAGCCTCACAAAGTGTTTCTGACCTGATGATGTTCTCCTGCTGCAGGCCTCTCGCTCCTGCCAAGGTGGACGCGCTGCGACCTGCCCAGGGTTCCCGACGCAGACATCACGCCGGTACGTATCCAGGCCAGCTGTACACGGCGTTCAGGAGTGGTCTTCCTCGGTCCCTCCAGGCAAATGCAGTATAACTAAATGGAGTCGGTCCTCCTTCAGAAGCTGCCAGTCACTCAGCTACTCAAGAATTTCCAAACGCCTTACGAAACACGATGGTTCATTACCGTGTTCACAAGAATCCGCCACTGGTCCCCATCCTGAGCCATTCTGTCTCTCTAAGATTCTTTTTAATATTATCCACCCACCTACGTCTTGGTCTTCCCAGTGGTGTCTTCCCTTCTGACTTTCCCATCAATATCCTATATACATTCCTTGTCTCCCCCATTCATGCTATATGCCCTGCCCACTTCATCCTCCTTGACTTTATCATTCTAATTATACTTGGAGAAGAGCACAAGTTATAAAGCTCCTCATTATGCAGCTTTCTCAACCTCCTGTCACTTCATCCCTCTTCGGTCTAAATATTCTGCTCGGCACCCTGTTCTCAAACACCCTCAGTCTACGGTCCTCCCTTAATGTCAGAGACCAAGTTCCACACCCACACAGAACCACAGGTAAAATTATAGTACCTCAAATTAGACTTTACACATACTTTCGAATTCATGATCGTGATCATTGTACTGTTCCACGCTACTGACGTAGTCACACAAATCGTAAGCAAATAAGCGGGCTAGTTATTTCTTGGTTTTCCCCGAGACAACAGCCTCAGCCGGTCCCCCAAATCCTCGGCGACCTCAGATCTCACAGCCACCAAACGTTTGGCAACACTGGAATAGCAACAATCGAGATGGGGCTGTACACCGAGGATGGACGAAAGCCGGACAGTGGGTTCGATCTGGCCACTTCTGGGCTCCATTTGGTTTTACACTTTTTACTTAACTCATTACCCAATACAGAGTCCAGACTACAGGCTGGAAGACGAAGGAATCGGGATTGATTCTCTGCAGAGGCAGATATTCCTTCTCCACAGCATCCAGACCGGCTTCGAGGGGTCACTCGCCCTTCTATCCAGTGGGAATCTTGTCCACTTTTAGGGGATGGGGGAGACAGCGATCGTTGCTTGTAGCCAATCACCCCCATCTCGCTCAGACGTTAAGAATGCATGGAGTTAAACCACAGCACCCCCATCCGTCTTTTGGTACGATGCTAAATTAAGCACAAGGACAAATACGCCGTTTACTTTATTAACAATGTGCCCCTGACGTAGACTATAGCCGAAGAACACGAACTGGAGGGAACGCTTAGAATGTTACACGCATAGAGATGTGTAGCCCGCCAGCAAGAACACTTGCCCAACTCTGGTGCATTCTAATCATAAATGTGTTGCGTCACCTTTATTTCGCTTGGTGGGAGGTGGAGTCCAGTTGGGTCCAATCGACACGGCGGCCACTGATTGGCCTATTGTAGCCTGCTCCGAGTGATTATGATGATGGAGAATTTGGTGGCATGAAGATTGGCAGGGGAAACCGAAGTACTCGGAGAAAACCTACCCCAGCGCCACTTTTTCCACCACAAATCCCACTTGACCAGACACGGGATCGAACCCGGGCAGCCGCGGTGGGAAGCCAGCGACTAACCGCTTGAGCTATGGCGCGACCCGCTGAGTCACCTTACGGACGAAGTGGATTTCTAAACAGTAGAACAGTTGGGCATTGCTCTTTTCTGGGTTAGTGTACGCTGCGCTCAGTTTCTCAGACGGTGCAGTGCCGAAGAGTAGGATGATCGGCGAATGATTCACTGGAAAGGAGCGATCGTGACCTAACCGAGGTGCTGTCCTGGCGTTTGCTTGGACGGACCGAGCAAACACCACTAGAACCCTCAGTCAATATAGCCTGAGTACAGGCCGGGATTCGAGTCGACCACCTCCAAAATATGAGTCCAGTGTTGCCGTTATAACAACCTGCTCCCTTTGGGCAACGTCCATCATCTGCGATATAAATGGACCATTTCCACGCCCACTTAGAGGCCATGAAGCCCGATGTTCCAACACGGCTACGGTAACCACTGGAGGGATAAGTCCGGAGCGCTGTGACGTGGTACTAGGGTCCAGCCGATTATGGTTAGCTCACACTGAGTCACTCTGACACTTTGGTCTGTTGCAGCCTCCTCTGGCGGCGAACTCTAACGGCTGGCGACCGATGCTACCCTCCTCCGAGAGGGCAACAACAGCACCCAGCAGTCGAGCGGCCTCCCTCCAGCACCCAGTTCTCAGCAAGTTACAGGCACACATGCTGACGGCAGAGCGCAACAAGCGTCTGCAGAGCGCCGCAACTTCCAATAAGGTGGAGACGTACGTAATGCCGCCTCCTAGCATCCTGGGCTCATTTACCATGTTTGGCCGCGCCACTGTGAAGGCGCGCGACAACAAGAAGGGAGTGCTCGAACACCTGGTGCCGCCACCCGTGCAGCAGGGCGAGAGCCAGCAACACTTCCGGTACGAGCGGCCCCCGGATGAGTACCGCCCTTCGTTCTACTTCCAGGAGCCCTCCAAGAACAAACAGTTCTTCCCGTCAGAGCAGGTCGGAGAGTTCCCAGCAGCGTACGCGCCGCTGGGGGACGCGGGGAACTTCGAGCCATTCTATAAGACATTCTCGCGCACCACGACCAAGTTCGGGAACGGCGACGTCACACTGCTGCCGCAGTCAGTGGGCATCCAGGTGAGCAGTTCGGCGTCGTTTCCGCATCCCGGACAGGTAGAGGACGTGCGGCTTCGCCCCAGCAGGCTGAATGTGGCGACGGGAACGCATCTGTCCGACCAGTCTTTCATTCTCCCTAGCTCTTCGCCCGTCACGTCGTTCGAGAACCAGGCGTACGTGACCACGTGGCCCCCCGCGCCCCAGCAGCAGTACTTCTCCAAACCGTCCCAACGGCCCGCAACCCGACCTTACTTCCAGGAGGCCGACGTGGCTGACGGTAACGGGAGCCCGCTCGCGCCAACGCAGATCCCATCGAGCCAGACGTACATCAGGAAGCCGATATTCTCCGAGCAAACCACTGTCCTGCCACTTCACATAAACGAGGTGCGCCTGCGCAAACCACTACTGCCCACTCCTCTCACAGAGGAAGAGGACAGCGAGTCGCCCAAGGACCCGTACCTCTTCACAGACGACCAGAATGACGTGCGCACTTACCAATCACAGAGGATTCGTCTGCCGGCTACTTCTCCCCCGGAAGAAGAGAAACAGCCACAGGAAGTGATCGTGGAGGCATACCATCCCAAGCGACCCGTAAACCGGCGTCCAGACGCCCGGAGACCAAGCTACAGCCAAAAGCAACCAGAGGGCGAGGGGCAGAGCCGCAACAAGCCGCCCGAGCAGAAGCTGAAGCAGCGCAAACGGCGGCCCATCTCGGAGGAAGTGGCGACACAGGCGAGCGCTCCCGACCCAGAGGACACGCCCCCCACACCTGTTACTCTTGATTCTTCGGCATTCCACTCGAGGAAGAGGATGCCCACCGCCGACAGGGGGCGTGTAAGGGACCGTACGCGCGCCCGGCCCCCTAGACCGCACACAACAGAGAAATCGATCACCGAGTCGCCGTGGAGTAGTGACGATTACGTGTACGCTCCCGAGCTGCAGAGCACGTCACACGAGTTGTACGAGCCGCAAACTCTGAACGAGGTCACGGGAGATGACTTCATGTCCACCAAGTCGGGGATACAACCCACCACGACCACCACGAGCACTACCACCACAACCACAACAACAACAACAACCACGCCACCGACTACCACTGCAAGGTCCAGGCTTCGGTTCCCCGGCAACACGACACGACCGAGGTTCAGCCTCAGGGACCACAAAGAGCGCCTGGAACGCCTGTCAGCCCTGTCGAGGAAACCCGCGGTCGAGACGAAGCCGGAGGAAGGCGAGGCGAGCCGAGGGCGGAACCGCTCCAAAGGAAGCGTCAAGCAGCAGGATGACGAGGAGGAGCCCAGCAGGAGCACAGTGAGGCTGAGGGACGCCCAGCGCGGGCGCCATCGTCCCTCAACCTCCACCAGTACCACCACAGAGTCACATGTGACTACGGAACCAAGCTCGACGACGGACCGGTTGAACCACTTCAAGCCCTCACATAGCCGCTACCGTCCCAGTAAGTACTACGGCGGTTATCGAACCAGAACCACAGAGGCGGCGACCGATGCGGAGACGAGTGTCTCTTCCACAACACTGCGCACGGTGGTCAAACCAAAGCCCGTGTTCTCAGTGACCAGGAAGCCCTTCCCACTACGGACGCGCCCGATGCGCGTCACCACTAGCACCACCACGGAGCTGGCGCCACTGATAGAAGACTCTGCCGTCAGCGCCAACGAGCCTGAGGCCATCGTGACCGAGGCCAGTACGCGCGCCACGAGTTACGAGGCACTGAAGGCCACAGAAAACGAAATCGCTCCCGTCATGTCCGAGAAGGCGGACACCACGACTGTCGAGGATGCTGAAACCGAGACCCCTGCCACCGATCTACCCTCCCCAGCTCAGGACACCTTGTCCCCTTCCCAGATCGTAGCTGATCTCACATCTTCAGCCACCTCTGGCGGTTATTTCAGCAAGCTCTCCAACTTGAGGATCACCATGGCGACTGAGGACCCCATCCTGCCCATCGAGGCGTTCTTTCCGATCAGAGCCAGCAGAGATGTCCTGACCTAACGAGGTCAACGCACATAAAGGTTTTATTTATTGAGTGCATTCACGAACCTAGAATAATACCAAAGCAGACTCTTGTGCCTGAAGCCTTGGGCCACAGATTTGCAAGACATTAACGTTACTACCCATTAAACTGAACACGAAAATAGCGCTCCGATTTTAGGCTTTCTATGCGTTACTACAACAGATACATTTACCAGGACACGAATTCTCTTTACGAAGCAGCGGAGCGCATTTCAGTTGCTAAAAGCAGTCTTTAATTGTGCACCAGTTTGTCTGCAATCCAAATAAAGCATTGCAGCATCTAAGACAGGCCGGACACGTGTGCTGTGCGCATACGCGGAACAATCACTTAACCGAAAACACTCCAGTCTCTCAATTCTCAGGCACATGAAGACGGATAGGGGTGGGGGTGGGGCTCCGTAATGTAAGTCACAGTAAAACTATCAGCCCCAAATGAAATTCAGTTCGCTGAGAAGGGCCCGTGACTTCCCTGGAAGAAGTGGAGAAACGGAGAACAGAAAAAGAAAGGCAAGCGTTGATGATAGGGCCATCTGTGAAGGAATGTATTAATTCTAAATGGCGTTTCATTTTGTGGTTTCTTTACGAGAAGAAAGGAAAAAGTTGGNGTTAGGCCAGGCGAAAGAAATCGATATTTAATGCGAAGTTCTGCAGAAAGGGTTCCTTTTGGCTGCATTTAACTTCCGTAAGCATCAGTCAGAACTGTCACTCAAGACATTAGAGGGAACACATTTCAAAATTCATCATTATACATCAGCAAATAAAAAGTCATCACGCGGCATTTTCATTTTCAAATTCTGAATTGTTTACTCACAGTTGTGGTACGGTGCTGCGTGCGAGTTAATTGATCATAAGCAACGATAAAATTACGAATGCAAAAAGGGTCACATTTATTTCACTACAAATACGTAATTGGGATGGTGAGGTTTTCGTGAAATCCAAAAGGTGAACGTCATCTTTGGGGAACGCTGTTTTAAAGTTTTTTTGGGGGGTGGGGGGGGAATTGGGTTTTTACAACCCAATAAGAGTAAATGAAACCATTTCGAATACTGAGTGCCAGTATCTTAGTGTTTCCTGTGTGGTACAACTGAACTTTTATATGTATTTTTTAGATGTTTTAAGTTGGTTATTTAACGACGCTCAGTATCGAGACTATAAAGCGTCAATGATAGGATGATTAATGAAAACGGAACAGTTGGTGGAATGCGTACTGACTGGGGAAACCGATGTACTCGGAGAAAACCTGCATCACTGCCTGCCTCTTTGCCCACTACAAATCTCACATGGCCTGACCTGAGATCGAACCCGGGCCGCCATAGTAGGAAGTATTATCTAACACGAATTTCACGCATCAAATGACAGTTAAGTGTTACTGAACCTCTTTTAAAAGTCAGAGAACCAGTTCATGTAGGATTCGGTGTTCATGTCTCATAGCAGTTGTACTGACAACCTCCACTGTCTCTCTCTCTGTGTACAAACAGGAGACATAAACTGAGCAGATCTCTGTGACAGGAGCAGGCATGCTGCTTTCCTGTGGCGAGTTAACGTGCGCGTATCTGAACCTCTGCCATCTATCAGCCTTCTTCGCAACTACGGCACTGATGCTCTTTTACACAGTAAGAACGTACACTTGCGAAGCCGTGGTGAATCGCCGGCTTTCCTCCGCGGCGGCCCGGTTTCGATCCCAGTTCATGTAGTAGTTATGATGGATAAAATGGAACTGTGGCAGGTTTTCTCCAAGCACTTCGGTTTCCCCTGCCAATTCTCATCCGGGGCTGGTTGCAGGCGTACCAAGTGAACTCAGTTTCACTCCATCCAACGAATAAAAAAACACCTGTCACCGCACCCATAAGGTCTGGGGGTAAATCTGAATCAAGCTGGAACCTCCAGTGACCCAATCCCTGGCACAGGAACACAGCGCCACTGTCCCGAAGTTCTGACCGCCCCCTGTGCCCCGCCTCACAGATTTAACTTGTACAGTTTTATACTTTGTTAGCGGGCCGATCTCTTGACCGGATATTTATGCTTTATGTATTATGCAGAGACAACATAACTTCCAATTATTTGTTTATAATTAAAATTGTCTGTAAATAAACAATTAAACTATTACATGTCTCCTTAATCTCATAGGCCAGTCGAAGTCAAACAGTGGTTCGCGAGCTGCAGCCGTCGATGCAGCTCGTAGTAGGAAAAATTGGCCAGTCCCTTTTCCTACAAATGAACTAAGTATATTATAAATCCGCTGGGTGGAAATCCTATGCCCTGCGCCATCCGATCAACGTCTGTTTGCGGCTCCCGAACTTCTGATAATTGTCACGTGTCGCTGGCTCCGACGATCAGTAAGTTTGGCCACCTCTGCTATGAGCCATATGCATCTTCGACGGAAGCATGAGGCCGTGGGGATGCAGCACCTAGTTACATTGCTCACCAACAGCGCTGAGTGACCCGTGGTCCTGGGTTACATGTCTCGAAGCACCTTTGCTCCTGAGAAGGTTCCTGGGAACCTCTAAAAAGTTCACATGAAGTACCAGCAACGGTCCCCAGATTTGCGGAGACAATTTACCGAAGCCCAGGTGTCGGGGCCACCTGCACCGTGTATTGTAGCAATGGGCCTACCATTCCAAGGAAAACATGCTAACTGTAGCAATGGCCCTACATTTCACTGTGAGTGCGTGTGTTCGATTCACGCGACTGCCGAATAGAGGCATACACCACTGCTCAGTTAATGTCGCATTGTCTCTCGTTTTAACATGCTTACGCGACCCTCTGGAGCAGGCATGTCAAACTCAACTTATAAATAATAAACCTATAAATAATAGTCCAGGGCCGCACTTCAAAATAGAAATATACATTAGATTTTGATACAAGGAAATTTAATTCCATTTATTACTTAGGAATAATTTCAATATAATTACCTAAAGTCACATATCTTACAGTTTTAAAAAACAAGAGAATGCCATTTTTGACAAGTATCAAACAGCTTTTCAATATGTAAAAATAGAGATTACATAAGAAATTATGTTAGAAATAGCAAAACATTGAATTTCCTGCAGCCTGCTAATTTATGTCTGCGTGAGACTTCTTGTCTTCTGGTCTGCTGGAAAATTGTCTTTACAAAAAATATTTCTACTAAAATTTTAATATTGATTTTAATATCAATTAGCTCTAAAAGTTGAGGGGCCGCACTTTGTGGGTATGGGGGCCGCATATTTGACAGGGCTGCTCTGGAGCATATGGCATCCGTTTCACTTCAGTTTCTTAAACTTATAGATAGTCGGTAGGGCTCCTTGGATGGGGGAACAGCCCGTCGTAAAGCCGAAACCTACACGCAGAACAGCATAAACACAGAACAAACGCACACAGATATCCGTGCCTTCAGTGGGATNTCCCCCTCCTCCAAAAAAAAAAAGGTTTCTTGTCTATGTAGTTCAGGCAGATTGCCAAAAGGTGTCATGTGCTGACAAATATAGCAGTTCATGGTAAAGGCAGCATTTTTCACGCTTCACACACATCTTCCCATTGCCAAGTAGCTGTGACTTTTCAAAAAAAAAAAAAAGTGCTTTCTACAGTTTACATTATTCATGATGATCGTGTAAGCGCTTCTGGTATGAGTTCGGTCGCCAGGCTTGTCCACAACCGTGTCCGACATAACTACCCAACTTCATGGAACCGAATGTTTCTGAGAAGCCACCAGTTGCTCAGCCACTCAAGAGATCCCCAAGATTCTATGGAACCCGAAGGTTCATTACCATGCTCACAAGAGCCCGCCACTGGTCCCTGTTCTGAACTAAATGAATCCAGCCTACACCTCCAGCCCATTTCTCTAAGATCCGGTCTAATATTATCCTCCAATCTATGCCCATGTTTTCGTAATTGTTTCTTTCTTTTAAATTTTGCTACCAAAACTTTGTACCAACTTCTCTTGTCTCCCATGAGTGCTACACGTCCACCTCATCTCAGCCTCTCTGAGTTGATCACATTGACAGTGGCGACCTCTGCTGAGAAACTGCGCCTCTAGACTAACCCTATTACTACGCTGTCTCTCCGTGGAGTGCGGTTTCAAAACGTCCCCGAGTAGCCACAAAGTGTATCGGTGGATCAGTGGAAGGTATGTCTCTGGAAACCTCAGTTGTCACACTTGGTAGTGCTGCTATCTAGAGTTCCCCCCACCACCGACAAAGGCAGAAACTGCAACACCGACTGAGGTATGAGTCCCTTCACTTCTGCTTACTGCTGCTTCTTTAACTACTGACGGCTCCACTTAATAGTAAGACAGACACATACGTCGGGAGGGGGGGGGGCTGTTGAACACTAAACAGGAGTGTTAAGTGGCCACTGTACATCGAGACGGCCTCTGCGATAAGGCTATATGCAGGAAACGTGGACAGCAGGAGAAATTCTCCTACCACACACTCCATCAGTGCCCAGCTCTGGCCAGGCATAGAATGACGTATCTGTACGGCTGGAGAAGTAACTCACAGCGGACCCAACTGGATGCTTTGGGCGACCACAAGGAGTTTGGCCTGGTGACTGGATGTACTGACACGCTTATACACACGACTCGGAACTACAAGTAATTACAGCGCCACCGCTGATTTCCACACTTTACAAATCACAAGCACATGCTAAGTCTTCTCAGTCAATTTCCACTAGTCGTTTCCTGGCAAAGAGCCTTAACGATTGAGATTCTTCGGCTTCTGTGGGTACGTCGTTGCCCGCTGGTTAACACTCCACAACTAGACTATAACGTCATCTCTTCTGAACCTCCCTTGCAGAACCCAGCTCTCAAAAAACTACTGCGAGGTTGGCGGCAATTACACACAAACCTCTTAGTCTTCTCTTCACAGACTGACTTTCAACTGACAACTGTGTCAAAGTCAAAGTCACATTGCGACTGACAGTCGGTCAGTCAGTCACTAAATCTTGGTTACAGTCTTGTTTTTGTGGGGCACCCTCTCTGACGAGAGGATGGGTCTGTCTTT